TACCAATAATAATAAATCAAATAATTTTCCCCATATATTCCTCCAAACCACAATTTAACCATTTCTGCTTTCAACACAATATACAATTAATAGTATCTCAATTATTACAATTCCCTAGTTAAATAGAGCTTTCCCCTTATGTTACTCATTTTCACATCTTAAACTCTCCCAATAACCCAAATAGTTTTGCCCATATAATCCTCCAAATCACAATTTAATCATTTCAACTTTCATCACAATTTCAATCATTACAATTTCCCTAATTAAATTTAAAAATGTTCTAGCTGTTATCCAAGCTACAACTTAATCCTTTTTACTTTCACCACCATATACCATTAAAGGTACTTCAATTGTTACAGTTTATACTTATTCATATTTCTAAAAAAAATAAAAAAATAAAAACTTATCATTGCCTAGATGTCAAAAATACAAAGGCAAATATTCCAATTATTATTCATTTCATTTTTACAATCATGATTTTCCATTTATTTCTTAGTACTATTCATATTTCAATTCTAAATATGTATAACATCAACTCTCCTCTTTTGCCCTAAATTTCCCATTGTTTGCACCTACCTTTTTTAGTGAGGAAAAATTAGGTTTCTTCTTAGAAGAAGCCTAATTTTTCCTTGCAGCAAACAGCTTGCTTTACTTTCAGTTTCATTTTCAGCATAGTTTGATTAGCATAAGGGGAAAAAAATCTGCTCCAGCATTCTTTGCAGCAAGCAGCAGAGCCCTGCGCAAAACAGCTGAGAGCAAATCACCTGAGAGTCGGGAGGCCAAGCTAATCAACTTGTGCTAATTAGCCTATGCTGAAGCAGAAAGGGCCTGTTTTTTCTTGCTGTTTGCTTGCAAGGAGGTAACTACTGAGGCACAGGCCAAAGGGTGGGGGCCAGTGGGTGGGCAGAGCTACATTCGGTGTATAAGACACACCTAAATTTTCACCCCCTTTTAGGGGGGAAAAAGGTGCGTCTTATATTCTGAAAAATACGGTAATTCTGTCATATGTAACCTGAGTGACTGTACCTTCATGCAGCATTGTAATTAAGAAGAGTAACTGCCCATTATTATATCTGAGGGACACCTTTGACCAGAATCTGTCCCTTGTAATAGAATCAGAGGCTGATTTAAATCCAATAAAGGCAACATATATGACTTGGTTTTGCCTATATATGTTTATCGAAATTTGTAAGCCCCAACAGTGGGCTGCTGCGTTGGGGGTGACTGATTGAGTAAGAAGATTCCTATTCTCAGGCAACCTATTGTATTGATTTTTATCTTTTCTATTTAATTCTCCTAATTTTAATTGTCTTGTGGAACTTTTTTATTTTTTATCATTGTAAGCCCCTCTGAGACGCTGTTAATAAAGATGGGCATAATAAAAATTTAATAAATAAGTAATAAAAGTTGTGATACAAGAAGTTGGCATATTATTTGCTAGGCATAATTAATAGGTTAAATGTATCAGGTAAGGAGTTTGTGCTGTTCTTATGCTTAGAAATGTGAACAATTGTAGATTGGATCCAGTCACCTGATATTTGAAATTATTGTGAATATCTATAAAGAAAGAGGTCAAGACAGGAACTCATCAATCAGCTTTCTCCCTTCAGTAACTCTGGTACTATTCGGCACTTTCCAACTTTTCAGTTGGTTAATTAATTGAAGAATCTCTAAATAGAAGACCTGAGTCCAGGTAGGAATATTATGAAAATACTTGTGTGCAAATAGAAAAGGGAGAGCTAAAAAGTGTGCTGTCTGGTAGCTGAAGTTCTAACCTTGAAGCATTGTTTTTCTTCACAATGAGCAATAATTAGCTTCCAAAATAAGGAGGTTGCCTTATCTTTGTTTTATTTGATCCCAATTTCCTTTCTCCCTCTTTTCAATACCTACCCTATCAGATATCCTGATGAATCCAGAGTTTCAAGTGGTAGAGACAGACCTTTTGGTAGTAGGTTTTGTGTGTGTGTGTGTGTGTGTGTGTGTGTGTGTATGTGTCAGTCTTGAGGTTTTGGGGCAAGATTTTTGGAAGTGGTTTGCCTTCTTCCTAGGGCTGAGATAGAATGCTGGATGGAAAGTCATCCAACTTTTTTCCATGCTTAAGGCAGGAGAAAGACTCACAATCTCCCAGGCTAGTGTCTTTATAATCGATACACCAAATTGGCTCTCTCTAGTATGTTAGGAAAGTGTTAATAATGTCTAGATGACTCTGTGGCCATGACTATTGCATCTGCTGGATTCAGTTGATGGTAGGCATTCCCAAAACCTGGAGGTCTTATCGAAGGTTAGTGATAGTTGTATTCTTTGTGTCTGCTTTGCAATCCATTGAACCCATTGAATGGCTAATTCTAGCTAATTCTAGTTCCAACAGTGCTCTTATTATTTTTGGCATTAACTAGACAATTTGATCAAGGGTTAGTCCAGAAAGAAACAGTAAAGGGAGGTGGTCACTGTCATGATGGATTCAGAAAACTATAATTATTATGTTTTAGCCTAGTCTGTTTATAGTTACCATTATGCTATGACTCATAACAGGTATTTTAACTCCAGGGATAATAGCTTATTTGATGAGTCAGCCACATATTGTTAGAACTCTTTTTGGGAATTCATTCGTTTGTTTATTTATTTTTAGGTGATCAACTTCTTTATAATAATTGTGATATTTCAACTACTTTGTACTTTTCTCTTACACTTGCAAACAATTGTACAAAGTAGGAAACAAAGCTTTGTGTAATAGCGCTGCTTCCAAGAAAATGGAACTGCTAACATTGTAGACTATTTGACCAAGAAGTGAAATTTTTTCACATGCAGACACAAATTCTTACATTAGAGCTTCCAGTCATGTGGATAATCAGTTCAGGTTTTCATCAAATATGCATAAATGTGGAAGATGGAATGAGAAGATTTTGTCTTCCTTTTAAATGTCTTTCAATGTCTAAAAACAGTTCTATTTCATATCAATGTTGAATAACACAGAGTGTACTTATTGTACAGCATAACATTTAATAGTACTGAAATTTGCTGATAAAAAAAATAGTGTAGTACTTCTTCAGTTATACTTTGAGACTGTTTCTTTATGTCATTCATATACAGAAAATAACCAATTCATAGGAAGATCAAATTTATTTTTCACCACTTGATTCTGCCATTCCAACTGCCAATGCATGCATATCACTACTAAAACACAAATATTCAAATTAATAACATTTTATTGAGATCCACTGAATTAGCACAAATGGGAATATTCAGAATACCTGCTTTTTGGGGGAGAGGGGGTACCAGTTCGATTATTCCTAGTAATGACATTAGCCAACTATAGATTTTTAGATATTTTCTCCATGGTTCAATACTGAAATATAAAAATCTCTCCCAAAACTCATAGCTGGAAAATTAATTGCTCCAGCTTTTATATTGTCCTTTAGGTATTTTTCCTTCTTTTATAATGAAGTGGACTCTACATAAATAATTGATAAGATACAGGAAAAATGCTAGTGATTTCAATTGCAACTCACTTCATTATTTCTCATATCTCATTAGTGAAACTAGTATGTTTCAAATATGTTCAGATCTAACATATTCTAGTCCCAAAATATTCTATTGTGATTCCAGAATAGTCCTTCTAATATTTATTTATTTATTTACATAGACTTAAAGAATTCTTAATTCAAATGACCCTGAGCACTTTACTTCAGCTAAAAAAAACTACAATAAAAAGCAGATCAAGTTCTAATTTTGCTCAGACTTTTTCTGATCTTGAAAGAGATAGTTTAGTTTGTGAAACAAATTTGAGAAGATTGATCAATGTTGCACTCTTAAATTATTTTGCACATTTCTAGTTTTTACTACATGCCTTTTAAATTCCACATTACAGATTTCCATAAATAATTCTTTTATTTTACCTTGTGGCAATATTTCTTCACACAACAGAAGGTTCTAATCTATTATAAAAACAACTCTTAACCTAAGAATAATGGGAAAATCTTAGTTCCTTGTTGCTAAATACTTGTTTTGGATAGAATCACATAATTTTAGAATGGATTGGAATGTGATAGTCATCAAGATAAACCTGTATTTTTTCATACCCTCAAATAATTTCATAGTGCATCAAATAAACATAAAATGCTTCTTGTCTCCTATTGCATCAGGTTTTAGTAAATATTGCACAAATGTGGTATAAAAGTGGGTAGATCTATCGGATGCAATCTGTTCAGAACAGCTAGAAATTGGCATAGGTGGTAGATACAATAAAAAGAAGTAGTAACAACATATGTTTACATGCTTTTCACATTTAAAATATTAACTTAACCTGTTATTGCCAATTAAATAAGGCATCTAATGAAAGTGCCAAGTATTGAACTAAAAGGTCTTTAATTTATATATTAAAAAGTGGAATTTAAAGTACCAAACTATTGTGACTTTAAAGAATCAATACTTAATTTTTATAGCAATAGAACACATGAAAATATTATTGCATTTACATTTTTTAAAATTGATAATGGAATAATAATTCTAGTGTTTTTCTAGTGTTTATAATTTATTCCCAAATTTGAAACACAGTAAGGTAACTGTAGAAAGTATCATAAGACAACCCCCCCCCACCTTCCATGGCCCTAGGAGAAGAAAAAGAAAAGAACCACTTTTGGAGGCTAGGAGAAAAAAAACCCTCTGCCTCCCAGCCAAGCAAAATAGCTCCAGGCAACCTGATAAGAGCTTTCCACAAATGGATGGATATGACGGAAAACAAGAAGAATGTAACAAAAAGCAGCTTCCACACTTCAGACTGAGGCAAGCCAAATTGATAGGATTAAGCTAGGTAAACACAAAAACCCACTAGATTTACATTCTCCTCTCTTCCCCAAGGCTAGATTTGACCCCGTCCACCACCCAGAAAACCAGATAGGGACAATGAAAATTCCAAAAGACATATTATTAAACTAAGCAAATACCCCATCAGGCATCTCAAACACAAAATTCCAGAATGGTACAAAAATCATCCCACTCACCCTTCCAAGTTACCAGCTGACCCAGAACCCAACTCTATTGTCACTGCAGTCTAAAACCTCCTTTTCCAGCAGCTCGCTTCCCCGCTTCTCATTTCATCATCAGCGCCGATCTCATCGTCCTGGCTGGAAGGAACGAACCAGAAACCTTTTCTTCCAACATAACTATCAAATTTTAAAGTGTTTGGAGTATTTGCATTTTATTAATAACTAAAATTTTATATATTAATTACAAAAGTTTTTCAAAATCCCAACTCTATATTCTCATATTCACTTATCCATAGATTTTATGAGTTCCTCTCTCTTGAGGAACTTCTATGTGTTGAAATTATTCTGAAGCATATTCTGAGAAATATATTCCCAATTTGTATTATATGCTTCATAGTTAGGGAATTAGTTCCAGGCTAATAAATGTTAAGATATGTGAATCAACAGATTCAGTTTGGAACCTATAATAGATTATTTTTTCAAACCAAGAGTCACTGACTAATTTCTCATATTTTACATTATTTAGTTTGGTTTTGTTAATCATTCAGTATTCTTATATATGCTAGAAACTATTATTTTTATTAAATAAGAGTGGGAACTTCATATTTTTTTTTGTTTGATCCTATGAAATCTTAACTAATGAACATTGGCTGTGATCCACCTAACCTAAAATAACACTATAAAGTAAATGAGTCTGGTAGCAGCAGTTTGAGGACTGTTCTGCTCTTGCACTGTGAATAACTAGGCAACTCCTTACTTGTGGGGTCTCTGCCTTTCCTTCCTTCTGAGTAAGGTTTTCCAATATGAGGAACTCACCGATTTCTTTGCTTGATTTATGAGCTGAGTCTGAGCCAGGCAGCACAGAGGGATGGGGAGGGAGTCTGTTTATGCAAGCCGGATCAGGGTAATTCCTGCAGATAATTTCTCTACATCCTTCTCTTTCTCTCTTCTCCAATCTTTCTCCACTCTCTCCTCCAACCCCCAGGGAGGATCCCTTCTGAGATGTTTGCCATACCTACATTCATGTTGCAGACTGAAGTGACACTCATCTGACCATTGCCCAAGTTATGGATCATCCCCCACCCCTCAAGGTTATTCGCATATTAGCTAGGTATAGAAGTTACAGGGAGAAATGTAGGAATTTGTATCCATCTAATTCTATTACACTGATATTCAGGGCCATGATCTTTTACGAACAATAGTTGAGACAGCGATAGAACCATGGTTTCTATAGCAACAGAACCTCTATCTTAGTGGGATTCAGTTTCATTCTGTTCCCCCCCCCCCACAATCTACTTCTTCATAGTTTCTAGGCATCATCAAGGCTTCCATCATATCTCCTTTGGCCAGGATGATACCTGGGTATGATCAGTATATGGATGCCATATCCCAGATTATAAATGATCTTTTACTTTTACTTTTACTTTTATTTGATTTATATTCCGCCCTACTCCCAAAGGACTCAGGGCGGTGAACAGCCAACAATAAAATCCATACATACAAAATTTAAAAAGCAGAGATAAAATCAAATTAAATAGTTTGGCCCAGACAAATTTAAAACCCAATCAATTTAAAACAAATTTAAACTTTGAATATTAAAAATACTAAAAAATATTAAAAATATTAAAAATATTTAAAAAGAGGGAGAAAGTTAGGCCAGGCCCGCCTGGTGAAATAAAAAAGTCTTTAGAGCGCGGCAGAAGGTGCGCAGATCCGGGATCCTCCGTATCTCCAGGGGGAGCTCATTCCAGATGGTAGGTGCCCCCACAGAGAAGGCTCTCCCACTGGGGGCCGCCAGTCGACATTGTTTGGCCGATGGCACCCGGAGGAGCCCCTCTCTATGAGAGTGTACTGGCCGGTGGGAGGCTATTGGTGGTAGTAGGCAGTCCCACAAGTATTATTATTTATTTTTTATTTATTAATTTTATTTCTATACCGCCCTTCTCCCGAAGGACTCAGGGCGGTGTACAGCCTAATTAAAAACATAAAGACAGACAAAATTTAAAAATAATTAAAAATATTAAATAATAGGCCCAATTTATAAAACCCCAAATTTAAAATGCCATTTAAAACCAATTAAAATCTTTACATTGATAGCCCAGCCTGGCGGAACAACATGGTTTTGAGGTACCCAGGTCCTGAGCCATGGAGCGCTTTAAAGATGGTAACCAAAACCTTGAAGGCACCCGGAAGACCACCGGGAGCCAGTGCAGCTCGCACAGGAGGGGTGTTACGTGGGAACGCCAAGTCGCTCCCATTACCACCTGCGCGGCCGCACTCTGCGCCAGTTGGAGCCTCCGGGTGCTCCTCAAGGGGAGCCCGGAGCATTATTAAATGCTTTTCACAGCATTATTAAAATATGACTGTATTACTGTAACTTTGTTGCTTGGATCCTTACAATTTATATTGATATTGTTTCCTGATTGCTTATTTGTACCCTCTGACTATCATTGTTGTACCTTATGATTCTTGGTGAGCGTATCTTTTCTTTTATGTACACTGAGAGCATATGTACCAAGACAAATTCCTTGTGTGTCCAATCATACTTGGCCAATAAAAAAATTATTCTATTCTATTCTATTCTATTCTATTCTATTCTATTCTATTCTATAATGGAGACAATTGCTATTTCTTATCCTAATAATATTAATTAATAATATTAATTAAAACCACTAATACCAGGAAGGAAAAGAATCACTGCGGAATAACTCTTCCAATCTCTAACCATCATAGGCAGTCCGAAAATATTCTATGATTATATCAAATGCCATATAGAGCTCTAAGAGGACAAGAGAAATGCAATACCTCTTTTCAAGTGTCTCATTTCAGGTCATCTGCAGGAGCAACCAATGTGGTTCAGGATCCTTTGTAGTTGGAACCGTCTTCCCAGTAAGGAACAATAAATTGGACACCAGCTGGTAAAATGACCAAAGCAGATGACCAAAGATAGATTTTGGAGAAGGGACCATACTATCCTTCCTTCAAGGCAAGCAGCATTAGCCCTTCCCCCAAAAAACAAATTTAAACATTTAAGAAGTATACAATCTAAGTTTCAGTCCTTCCACAAAGGACCTTGTTAACTACTTTAGATATCACAGCCTCAAAAAATCCTAGGTGTTCTCACAGATCCTTAATCTGTCATCTTCTCTTCTACTCTTCTGACATCCAGATCAAAATGCATATAAGTGCTAAATAAACTATTCACAGAGCTGCCTGCTAAATTGCAGCTCTATGCCTGTAGAAGCGACTAAAATTTATATGGCAAGTCTATAAGGAAAAATATGCAGCACTGATTTATAATAGCAGTAGGTCATTTTTATGTGTATCTATTCTAATTACAACTTAGAATAAAAACAAATATGATGTAAGACAGGCAATTAATACTGATATGAGTGATTTGTAAAGTACAAATAGTGATCTTAATTATGATTTTGATCGGCACTGAATCTCTTTAGCCTGTATTTCCTTGATCTTGATTTTTGATCTCATAGCTCTTGTTGGACTGTAAAAACTGCCCCCTTCTGTGAATGAAAACTTTCAGCTTAGATTCAGGTTAAGTACTGGGGCCTTGATCCAAATTGAGGTAAAACCTATTTTATTTCCATTAGACTGGGCTCTTTAAACTTGCTATTTATTCTTTTTAAATAATGGAACTGCTGGTTGTTAAATGGTATCAGTGACAAACTCATGGTTTCAGTATGATACAACAATGTCTCCTAAACCAGAGTTTCCCAATCTTTCCGGCTTTGACCGCATGGAGAAAACCCCAAATAGATGAAATGTGTTTTGTATTTGTATAGATAGAATCTCCCTATAGGTGTGGAACTCAGCTTGGAAAACCATCTTGTGTCATTCTTGGGTTTTGGGCCTGATATCAATCTTGTCAGACTGAAGCACTCTATTCTCTGCATCTACCATATACTCTACGAATATTAGGGAGGAGATGTCTTCACTCTCTTTCTCATCCACAAAACTTCTGGACTGAACGGTGTCTTTTTCCTCTGGAATGTACTCGTTTCATCATGGGAATCCACCCTACTACATTCTATCACAAAACACAGGTTTAGGACAAATATCTGATTTATTTTCTACATCGAAAACAAAGAAGAATCTCTATCAGTCTCATTCAAGAAAGTTATCTCCCACCCCGTGTTGTGTAAAATTTCATACAGGAATAAGAAGGAACAAAGAAGGACAGCTTACATCCATCCATAAATAATAAGATTTTTCTAAATATGCTATTGTTCAGTAACAATGTTTTCAACAGCTAAAGTAGAAATAAAGTATGCCTAGGTTTATTTAGTTACCATTTAGTCATTTATGCCAAATGGAGATCTGTTGTGATTCAAATCTCTAGAGGTTGGATAAAATTGGTATTAATTTTGCGCTTCAAGAGCTTGATTTTTCATTGCAACTTTGATTACAAATAATTATCTTGGTATACAGCTTTACAGATCATATCTTAGGCATGAAAAACATTTCATTTGAGTATGTATATGCTGAAATAATCTTTAAATCATAGTTGAAATACGAACCATTTGCAGCAACTCACCTGTTTGTTTGTTTGTTTTGCAGGGTTGTTAACAGAGATCTATTATATATGTGACTCAAGCCCTGCTGCCCTTTAGATTGCTTAGATATGTCTTGAAGCTAATTGGAAATATTATTAATAGCTGTCCCTAAGGGGAAAGCCATATTAAGCTCAAGGCTTATTTCTGCAATGTTTATGATTGCACTGTAAATTGTTTTAAAAGTGTATATCTTAGGTACATTACAAGAATAAAGATTTAAAGATTTTTTAAAGTGAGGCTGTTGCAGATTTCTATTATCTTATTTCTTACACTAAATTAATCAAGAAACAGCCTTAAAAATGTTTAATGTATCTGTAAGTATTAATATGGTTATGCACTATTAAATTTGAACTAAACCAACAAGAACTATTTTGAAAGGCTTTTTTTCCTTATTGCTGATCACTCTTTATTTTGAGAACTGTTTTTGTTGTTGTGAGTCTATATTGAAGGCTACATTAAATTGCTACTGCTATTTACAATTTCTGTAAATTTTAAATATCTTCCTATAAGAAGATGTGAAATATAATGTAAAATACTTAAAACAATATAGAACATTTAAAAGCATAGCCAAATACAGGGTAAAATAATTTATAAGAGATCATAATAAAAAGTACAGTATTGTTCTACATAATATTTGCTTGGGTAAATTAGGTTTTGAGAAATACATTAAGTTTCCTTGCTTACTTTTTCCTGCAACAAGACAAATGATATGAAATGGTTGGGAATACCGTACCTGCTGTTTTTTTTAATATTCTACATTGCCCAGCAATACTTAAAATAAGAGCTGGCATTCTTACAATTGTTAAATTCTCAAGCTGTTTATTGTTAAAAGCAGATTGTGGAATAAGCCACCTACTCCTAGAAACTATTAAGAAGAAGAAAATCTTACATTGAATAGTTTTTTTGTATTGTGGTATATTACCATGTGTCTATTCTTATATTATTTTCCTTTGAACAGCTCATATTTTTACTAAAATTGCAGATTTTGAAAGCTAAGAATCAAATATGTGATAGATATATGTGTATCATTTTAGCTAAAATAAACCCAATCTGAATTTCTAGTGCAAATTTTAAATAATATTCATTTCCTTGAAAGACAAAATGTTGGGGATGTTCCATAGCTACTATTTTGTATACCACTAATAAGGAAGTATAAATCTAAAGCTGAAGACTCTACCAGCACTAGTAATACACTAATCATGGAAGTAAATTGGCAGCACAGAACTCGCTTTGATTTTAAGACAGAGCTTCATAAATCTCTGAGAGATATTATACTCTGTCCAGATTTGGCGGGAAAATTCATTTCTCTCCAATAGCAATATTTTCCCCCATAAATTATTACCTGACACAGGACGAGAATTGTTTGACATTTACCAAGAATAGGATATACTGTTGAAAACAAGTGGATAAAAATGAAAAGAGCTACAAACATGGCTGCTGAAATGTCTTTAAAGATCAGTTTAAGGATTAGCCGGTGCTTTGGAGGGACCGCTTGCCCTAAGGATCCTCAGTGGAGACTGGAGGAGTTTATGTGCAAAAGACTAAATAGTTGTAAAGTTGTGATTCAAATGACCTCTTTAAAACTGCGATATCATAGTTAACATTTCATCTCAAAATCTCAGCTTGCTGCATGGGCCCTAGTCCTTACCAAATGGATTTTTGAAATTTTTGAAACCTAAACAAGTTTCTATCTCTTTATCTTTCCAGGTTTCTTTCCTACTCCTTTCCTAAGTTCCATAAATTTTTGTTTCATTGGTTGTGCTTTTTGATGAACCTTGGAAAAATTGCAGTCTCTTGGTTCTTCTTGATGTCTTGGGGCCTTTCAATGGTATTGTTCTGGATTGCCTACAGAGATTAGGAGTGGGAGGCATGGTGTTTTTCTGGGTCTCCTCCTTTCTGAGATAGGGTACAGACTGTGCTGATGGGCTTCCGAGATCCCTTCCTATGAGTATACCTCAAGCTTGAAACTCCACTCCCTCTTTTTTAGCAACTACAAGAAGTTGCAGAGTGTGGTCCAGTATAATCAATATGTTGATTATAACAAGTTATGTATCTCAGCCCTTGGCCAGCCAGTTGATGCTATCCTTGTGTCTGGAATGTATATGGTCTATAGGAGGATGAACAGACTTAGGCTCAACCCTGAGAATACTGAATGGTTGTGATATTTGGATCTGCCAAATATCAAGTAATTCTGTGTTTGGTCCTGAATAGGACAGTGCTTTTCTCTTCAGGATTGGTATACACATTGGAAGTTGCACAGTTACTTGGTTGCAGCTGACAACTGATATCCGAGCTTCCCCCTTTCACACATAGATCCTGTTTTCTCATTTGTAACCACTCTCCTTCAGCATATAGTGTGTATTATAAAATAAATTTGGTAAATGATTTATTATGGATTTGAGTTTAGATTCTGTTTCTACAAGGATCTCATTATCTTTTATCAACCACAGTTTTTAATGAAACAATGAATATGGCATTTCAAGGTTTTTAAATTTATTTTTAAAATCCATCAGAAGTATTCCTTTTAATCAAAGCCAGCATTATCAGCATCCATGGATATTACACAAGGGGTATAGCTGATTTTACGTAAGACCAATATCTAAATATTGTGGTATTTAATTTGATTTATTAAGCAACCAATCTGCTGTTTCAGATGCTATTGATTATTTATCAAATTGCATGATTTGTTATTTTTAAATAAAGGGAAGGCCAGTGTTATGGAGGAACATATATGCTATTTATTTTCATTGTATTGTTAAAGCTGCATTGTACATAAGTGACTCTATCTCTATATTGCTTTTCTGATCTGTGTTTGTATGGGTGTTGCTGCTTCTTACAAAATAGGACGGTACATTTAAAGCTAAAGCTGTCATAATAGTTTACAATTTGTATATCACAAAGTCTGCTTTACAATCACCTAATTACTGAAGCACAACAAGCATAATATTGAACACAATATTATCAGAACATTTTTTCAGTTTTATTATTTTGTAGCACATGAGAGCTTATCGCTTGCCATTTACCTGAAGTAAAGGTGATAAAAAGATTCAAAAGAATTCTGTTTCGCACTTCATAATGCAATGCATTTTAATGGTTTTGATTGTAAGTTGAAGTTATTACTTTCCTGGGGTTTTAGAATTCTGTTTGTAGAGGAATGAACATGTGGCTTTCCAAATTATATTGAATTACAGTTCCTGGACTTCGGCCATTCTGGCTGGAGCTTTGGGAATTGCAGTCCAAGAACATCTGGGATATTAGATATTCTGCTCTATGCTACTCAAGAATGCTAAATTAAATAATTCAGAATCTAGTATCTTGTTAGGTTATATTGGCAGGGAGAATTAAAGCTCCATAAAATAAATGTATTAATTTTATAAATAAAAAAATACACCGCTCTTTCCGCGGTGACCTGAAGACATGGCTGTTCCAACAAATCTCCTGATCTGCTGGGAGTTGTTAGTTTTAATCTATTGAGGATTTTAATTGGATTATTTTAGTGCTAATTTTTATTTTTCTGTTGTTTTATTGTTGTTAGCCGCCCTGAGTCCTTTGGGAGAAGGGCGGCATATAAGTATGAATAAACTAAACTAAACTAAACTAAATGGAGATTGATATCAAAATGATACAGCCACATAACTATATTGTAAAGTTTCTTAACATAGAGAAGGAGCTTAGCTCTTGTGTAGTAACATTTGGCCAAGCCTGAGTCTTAAAATAAATCTTCAATCTAAATATATATACAATGTAGTTTGATGGCATTCTTTAGTCTTTAATCCAAAATGGAAATAATATATTTGCATTGGATTGAAAATTTTGGTTTGAAAAAATAAGGCCAATATTTAATAATAAACCTAGGTATCAACAATGTCTGTATTTCTCAACAGCACTCCTAGAATGATCTGTAACAATAACAAGTAATACTTATTTTTGGAAATGTTTCTGACAGTTGTAAGATTTGCTAGAAACAAAGATTAAAAAGTGGAAATTAAAGTGGAAAATGTATTTGAATGTAAGAAAATAAAAGTTCATTAGCAGGATTATAGGACTTTTTTGGGCTGTGGACCATATTCAGCTTTGGAGTATATAAAATGGACAGAGCTCAGATTAATTTTGTTTCATTGTTATCTTTAAAATTGAATATGCTAGTATTACTCTCACTATGTATTTAATAATTTTCCTTTTCTAATACATTATAAATTATAGCTAAGTAACAACATCTACAGATCTCTGGAGTCCAGGTTTGCAAAGACCACAATGAGCCTGCATCCTCCGTCTGCGTATCTATGATTTATAGAATAATAATTTGGAATGTCGATTATTGGTACTTTTATTACATACTGAAAGCTAACTTTAAAATGTTCTAAATTTATATAAGCATGGATATATTTTATTTATTTTATTATTTATTTTATCATATTTATATACCGCCCTACTCCCAGGGGGATTCAGGGCGGTGAACAGCCAAGATAAAAATACAGTAACATATAAAAGTTAAAAACTATTAAAAAAAGATTAAATAATTTGGGCTCAAGAACAAATCTAAAAACATCCAATTATATAAAACATTTAAAACCCAATTTAAAAGGGAGAGTTAGGCCAGGCCAGCCTGTTGGAATAAAAACGTTTTATTCCAATATATAATACAAATATTATAAATGTATGCCTAAAATGTATAGAAGTTACACAGCATATATTTTATATATTTATGTATGTATGTATGTATGTATTTTTAGGATTATTTAACTATTCACAAGTACGGCAATGCTGCAAGGAAAGACCTATGGAATACCCTGTCAGAGGTAAAACCATTAAACATATTTCGTCAATAAATGTAATTTATTTTGAGGGCTAATATTTGTTACTTGGCTTTGGGGCTTATATATCTAAATATTGTATAAAAAGTGATACACCGAGGAACAGTTTAAAAATGGTGTTTAAAACGGTACTTAATATGGACCTCAAAATCTGTTCATCTTGGTAGCAGATTTCCTTACTCTTTGCCTTTAGAATGAGAGTTAAACAACTATCATTGATTTTAGAAATTGTGATGGATTCAGATGTAGAACATGAAAAATAAGCAGTCTTTGTTCAGTCTATAAGTTTAGTGTTCACAGAAGGTGCACAAGTAATTTAGCCATTAAGTGGAAATATTGATAATATAGAGGCAGAATGCAGTGTCACACAAGTTGCAGAAGCTCATGGAAACTTTTCTTTCCTATTTCTCCTCCCCGCAATGTGGTAATACTATCATTTCAAAAAGAAGTTCTGTAATTTTTGTTTGTTTTAAGGCACTTAAGAAGATAGGAAAATTTGTGAATATCCAAGAGGTAATGGATCAGTGGACACTCCAGATGGGTTACCCTGTAATCACTATCAAGAGAAATGAAAATACAGACAGTATTATAGGAATCTCTCAAGATCGCTTTGTTTATGACCTTGATAAAGATCCCGGTTTGAGAAACAACAGGTATTTACATTTTCTAGTATACATACTATATTTTACAATTGTTTTAATACCACTGCTAGAGAAGGAGAAATATCTTCATAAATGGTTATATAAAGATTTGTGAATAATAACAGTGATACCATGGTATACCTTTGCTATTTTTAAAAAACATTATGTATAGGCACTATGTTAAAATATTGAAATAATATCATCGGAATCTACACATTTAGAAAGATGCAGATAAAGACTTGAATTTGTATCTGGAAATTTTCAATAATAGATAGTTTAAATGTGTTCAGTCATCTTTATGTTTTTTACATAAGTGGGCTTTCACAGAGGAAGAACAATTAAATATTAAATCAGAAAAATTACATTTAGTTTAGCAGAAGTATATAACTGATAAACAACTCCAACTCTGTTAAATAGGGTGACTTAATGATGAGAAAACTTATATATTAATATGGTACACATAAACTTGGAAGTCTATAGATATTAATGGAACTATATTGTCTAAATCTTGGCATCCTCTGTATGTACATTAATAGCAACTGGGGGTGGCACAGATACCGCAGGGGCAAAGTATGCTTAAAACTTTCCTTCCCATCTGCTACTGCCTCAATCTGTTTACTTCCCTCATTGCTTTTTTAAATGTATATTTAATTACTTACCTTGGAACTTAATGCGTCATGAAATTCAAATTTCTGAGAAATTGTATTGTATTTTATAATTTTTCCAAAATTGTAGAGCTCTATGAATTACAGCAATAGTGCATTAATTCAATACAATACAGAATATTGGCAGTGGGTCTTGAGTGGGAAAGGAAGAAAGGAAGGAAGGTAATAGGCAGAAGCAATCTACAACCTTTAATCACCATTCCACTTATTCTACGAATTGCATAAAGATGAGAAAGCAATTCGACGTTCACTATTTTAACTAACCTTTAATGAACCTTTTAATACCTCGATGACCATAGTAGCTGTTATATCAATCTTGATCTTTCTGCTAGGCCTATTTGCATACCTATTAATTACTGCACTAAGTAACCAGTGGAAGGGGCAATTGTTTTCTTGCTTGTACTGTAGTAAGGTATGCGATTGCCTCAGAAATTACTGTTTACATACAAGATGTAAAATTGCTGTATACAAACAGATATGTGATTTTTCCAAGATTAGAATGAACAGAAAACCAAAGCAAAGTCCATTATGCAATGACTTTCCTCTCTGTGAGCTGTTTTTCCATGTACATTTCTATCACTTGCTGGCCGTCTTACTAATTCCCTTATAATGAAACAAAATGAGGTTGTCGTTAGCTGTTTCCATTTCTTTCCACAAGTACATATGTTCTGATAGCTATGTTGTTGTTGTTAGCATGGTAATGGCAATACTACTTCATTTGTTTTATTTAATACTCTTATTTGGTTAGTCACAGCACCATTTAATGCAAGAAAGAGGATGGTAGATATTCTTAAATGATTGACATAAGAGATCCCCAAACTACTGGTCTAATCCTGCTATGAACTGTGGTTTTGTGAAAAATGAATCAATTAAATTGATCACTACCAATCTTTCCATTAAAGGCCATTCTCAATATCAGTCCTGACTAATTTTTTCCTAATGCTAATGTTAGAAAAGTTTTTAGTTTAGGTTGTAGAGGTCAGTAAGATCTTGGAATGTCCCAGCAGCTACAATTAAGCCAGATTTCTTTTATCAAGAAAAACTTTGTTTATTTAAAATCAATAAACTATTTACATTTTAAATCACAGAACATTGTATCTTGGTCTTTATTTATTTCTGAGGTAAATGTGCCTAGAGCATAATCCCTTCTCCTGTGTGTCTCCCCTGTGTCTCCCCTGTGTCTGTAGCTAAAGGGGGTCATATTTATAGGATGGCTAAGCCACTCCCCCGTCAGTCCCTTAGACAAAATGGAGGGAAAAACAAAAAAACATCCTTCCAGTATAGACAGTGTGGTTCAGTGGCACTGTTTCAGATAATTATCTGACAGCTAATTTATTAAACTTCTATGCTGCCCAGCTCTCAATGGCCATAGGTTTAAATTTAACAGAGAAATCTAATGCAGTTAGAAATAAATGTACCATGTTTTACCCTTTTATTTTCATAAATATACAGAATGTTAGAGATGAATGTAAAATAGGAAACAGAATAGGACTAAAAAAATAATTTTAAAACATTCATTTGCAATCATTATTGCTTAGAGAAGGAGGTATGAACAAATTTAAATTAAATACGGTATAATTTTGGGACCTGTTTCCAAAATGCAACACTCATTGCCCATTTCAGCAGAAACTGATTTTGAAACCTATAATTTTCTGAGCTTTTCTTCACCAATAATTTGGGGCAGCACAGATGTTGCTACATTAATAAACAGAAACACTAGAAATAATGATCCATTGTCCTAACTCCCTTGCAATCTAGTGCGCACGTTGATATTATTGGATGTTTTGTGGAATAAAAAAAGGCAGGTTAATGTTGCCAAAACTGTCTGGGGTGGAACAAGGCCAGCCAAGAGGACAGCAACCAAAATCGGAGTTTCTGGGCTTATTCACAAATCTAAATAATTAATGAGCGCAAATTATTAAATCTTGTGAACAAATATATAGATAATAATCTAAATACTTACTGGTTATGTAATAGTTTTTCTGGAGTGTAGTATCTTTTAGTCAGATGAATTAACTACTATTCAGAGCAAGAATTTGATTTCAGATTTTAACAACATTTAAAAAAAATGTATATGTATGCCTGTCCATTTAACACATGACTCTGGTTGGCTACCAAGCAATTAAAAAACCCATAAATAAAAAGTATTTTTAAACAGTATATTGCATTCAGAATGACTCAGAATCACAATATCAAGTTGGGCTCATCACAACAACCTGGCCCACTGCCCAGGGAAGATTTATGGATTCTTACCATCATAATTTTATTATTGGAAAGTATTTGGTCTCTGAGATGTCCAAAGTTTACAGTTATTTTTAAAAGACAACATTTCTATGACTTGATTTATGATGGAGCTTCTTATCTTTTGAATAGTAAATGAGGTTTTGTAGAATTCTTTAAAATTCCATCTTCAGTTCTAAAAAATTCTTTGTAATTACTTTATGTAATTGTGTCTAGCATTTTAGCATTCTTTCTTGTTCTTCTAGAAAGAAATTAGGTACCAGAAAACAAAAAGAAGGGAGGAATTGAGAAAGAAAGCAGTAATTTCTCAGATTAAGCATCAAGTCAGCAATACTTACTTAACAATATTCGTTACTCCCATATAACACCCCTCCTGCGTGAGCTGCACTGGTTACAAGTGGTTCTCCGGGTCTGCTTCAAGGTGCTAGTTCTCACCTATAAAGCCCTACATGACTTAGGTCCGGGATATTTGCAGGACCTTCTCCTGCCTGCCTACCGTCCTGTTCCCTCACATAGGGCCGCTCTCCTCAGGGTTCCGATGGCGAGCCAATGTCGTCTTGCTGTGCCCAGGGGTAGAGCGTTCTCTGTGGGTGCTCCCACCCTCTGGAATGAATTACCTCCCGAGCTCCGGACGGCTCCTGATCTCCGTTCCTTCCGTCGGGACCTGAAGACTTGGCTGTTCAAGCAAATAGGTTGACTCTGATTCCGGGTTTTATTATTTACTATTAATTAGTTATTTGGTTTAAAATGGGATTTTATTGTACTTGTTTCTTAACTTGTGTTTGCCGCCCTGAGTCCTTCGGGAGAATGGCGGCATATAAATACATGTAATAAATAAATAAATAAATAAATAAATAAATAAATAAATAAATAAATAAAATATTGTAACTGAAACACGAAAGAGAATTATTTAAATACTCAATGGTTTCCACTTTCACAGACACTTCATATACTTAAGAAAGACTTTCTTCTCTGATCTTGCTTCTTTGTCTCAAGTATTTTGAGCACCACCAAAGCAGAGTTTCTCTGTGTGACTGGGGGGGGGGGGTACAGTTTATTTATTTATTTTATTTTATTTATTAAATTTATATCCCGCCCTTCTCCCCAAAGGGTCTCAGGGCAGTGAACAGTCAAGAATTAAAATAACATGCAATATAAAAGTTAAAATAATTAAAAATAGATTAAATTAAACGGCCGCCCCAATTTAAAACCCCTAGCAATACAATTAAAAAACCCCTAAAACCTATTCAGGCCAGCTCGGCTTGCTGAAATAAAAACGTCTTCAGGGCCTTACGGAAAGTGCGGAGATCCGGAATCAGCTGTATTCCGGGAGGTAGCTCGTTCCAGAGGGCGGGTGCTCCCACAGAGAAGGCCCTCCCCCTGGGGGCCGCCAGCCAACATTGCTTGACCGACGGCACCCTCTCTGTGAGAGCGTATTGGCCGGTGGGAGGTTATCGGTAGCAGCAGGCGGTCTCGTAAATACTCTGGCCCTAAGCCATGGAGCGCTTTAAAGGTGAGAACCAACACCTTGAAGCGCACCCGGAAGACCACCGGGAGCCAGTGCAGCTCACGCAGGAGAGGTGTTATATGGGAGTGCCATGTCGCTCCCGTGATCACCCGCGCGGCCGCATTCTGGACCAGTTGGAGCCTCCGGGTGCTCCTCAAGGGGAGCCCCATGTAGAGTTGAGGAGAATTAGATTTCCATTTGCCAACACAAGCCAAATATTATTTATTTAAATGTATTATAGTCAGAAACCCTTCAGACTCTAGGCAGTTTACAAATACACAAACAATAAATGCAGTTAAAAACATACAGCATCACAGGCATCCTGAACTAAAACAATCATGACAAACCAGGTTTGTCTTACCAACACATTATAGTAACTCTAAGCCTGAGACCAAAGCCAGGTCTTAAGGACAATTTAGAACCCCCAGGAGGGAAAATACTGCCCCTATCTCTGGGGAGATGTTGTTCCAGAACAGGGGTCTCCAACCTTGGCAACTTTAAGCCTGGCGGACTTCAAGTCCCAGAAAGCAAAGCTGACTGGGGAATTCTGGGAGTTGAAATCCGCCAGGCTTAAAGTTGCCAAGGTTGGAGACCCCTGT